TATTATATACCCACACCTATACAGTGTGTGTAAAATCATTAAATGATACTAAACTGTAAGCTGAACTTCATTACTGCTACCCCCTGCGTTGCCTTCTTATCAGGTGATATTTGCCTGGCAGTGGCTACTGGTCCACTTGGGCAACCCTGGCACAATGTAGTGGTGGTGGGATCTGTGTGAAGGCAGAGATGGTGATTGCCTGCCACTTTCTGATTCTACCATAGTTCTCTAATGACCGGGTACATTTTTAGCCAATTAGGTTTTAGAATAGTAGGGAGTGGGAAAAGGGGCAAGTGTTGGGTTACAATTAAGCTCTGCTTTAAAATATTGAAACAACGTCGAGACAACTTTTCTAGCAAATAGGTATTCTGTTCTTTCTGAAAATAATTATTGGGCTGCTTAATCCCTGCACATCATGGATGCATCTGAGTTGTATACCAGGACCTGCTTGCTTCCACAGCACATGTGAAAGTACTATTGCTATCTGTAACTAGGATAGGGTTCTGCAGTGTAATGTAGCTTGTAGCTCATTCTGGCTTCATTTTGTTTATGTGTGTTTATGATAGTGTGGCAGTTTTGGTGTGATTAGTACTGAAATGAGTGTGACATTTATCTGCAAACTTGCTGTGTTATTAATGTTCCCTGTTTGATATTAAGGAAGAAGAAAATTACCCAGAGGAATCTGAATCTAGAGCACGACCATCAGAACCACAATCTCCTCCCCAGGTTTCCCGTCACAAGTCTCATTATCGCAACAGAGAGCACTTTGCAACCATTCGTACTGCCTCATTGGTAGGTTCTTTTTTTCTTACTGTATCAAGGCATAATGGTCATCTTTTTTTTCTTCTATTTGATGGGTTACTATTGTGTATACTTGGGTAAACTTTGCATGTGTTTTCATGAGTGTTGTGTGAGTCTTGATCAGTAAAACTTTTTCAGGGAAATATTCACAAGGTAGTACCTGAACAAGTGTAGTCTCTCTCTAATTTCCACATGAGCTGAGATTAGCAAGGTATTTGAGTGAACAGGGCAACCAATTGAAAAATGAACGCTGCCTGAAGGAAGGATTGGTCAAGGGCGGGTCAAGAAATGTAAAGCCTTTGCAGTTTTGTTGCATTATTCTTAAAGTTACTAAGTTGACCAAAATATTTATTATATATAATAGTAGATAATTGGATAAAGAGTGAGTAGTATCCCTAACTGTAACCCCATGAATCAAGGCATTTGTTTGCAAGGCATTGGCCAAGTGTTCAATTGCCAAGATGTATATATTTGGAACAGCCCTGCCACATCCAATTAAACATAGATCTCACACATAAAAATGTTTTGTTTTAAAGTACCCAAGTACATTGGATATTTTATTGAAAGTTGATGCATCTAAAGCCCAGAACTTAACCTTATGAGTTTGAAAATGCTATGAAAAGTATTATTGCTAACCCTGCTTTACACTACAAATCTGATCTTCCAGACTTGGGCTACAGTCTAATTGCGGGCAGTGATGTAAATTACCATGAAGCTGAATAATTTTGTCTAGCTGTCCCAGAATGAGTATGCTACTCATGAGACTGAGTATGCTCATTTCCTAAAATCTGATTGCACAGTCTCCTCTAGATCTACCACCAACTATGTAATGTAAGGGCCTACATGTTGGATACAAACAGAATGGATTGTTTGGATTTGACCTCACATTACATAGTTTTGGTAAAGTAAAAAATGATTGTATAGAGATGATATTTTCACTGTCACTATCTTCTTACTGTTTGTCTTTTTTGGCATTATGTTAAATTTTCTTTTACTATGTAGAGATGTTAGTCAAGCAGTCTTTAAAAAAAATCCAGTGATTACTTTGACCATATTTTAAAGAGAACTCCAATATAATACATTTTTATTAACCCTTGCAGTGGGGCTACCTCCACAATGCAAGGGTTAACTGCTCATTCTTGTCTAGGTTTAAAAAAAAAAAAAAGTTATCCTCACCTGATGCTGCACACTGGCTTGTTCCTAGACCGGTCCTTCCAGCCTCTCTCCCCCTCTGCTCCAGCAGTCTAAGGTCCTGTTAACCATCACATTCTATACAGTGTATAGACGTGAGAATGCTGAGGAAGATTACAATGCTGCAGCAGAGGGGGAGAATGGCTGGAGGGAGTGCTCTGACAGCTGGCTGGCACGAAGCTTTGGGTGAGTCTAACTTTGTTATTTTAGCACCTAGACAGAAACAAGTGTTTATCCCTTGCAGTGTGGAGGTAAGGTAGCCCCACTGCAAGGTTTTTAGAACCATTTTTTTCTGGAGGAGTTCTTTCAAATAAGAGGTTTAAAAATACATTTTATGATTTGAATTGTCATTGGTTTTTCTTTCTCATTTTTCAGGTGACAAGGCAAATCCAGGAACATGAGCAAGACTCAGAGCTACGGGAACAGATGTCCGGATACAAGCGCATGAGGCGGCAACATCAAAAGCAGCTGATGGCACTGGAGAACAAGCTGAAGGCTGAGATGGATGAACATCGGCTCCGGCTAGACAAAGATCTGGAAACCCAACGTAATAACTTTGGAGCAGAAATGGAAAAACTAATTAAAAAACACCAAGCAGCCATGGACAAAGAGGTAAACTAATAGGAGTCTAAACTTAAAATAAAAATGCCAAGTAGGATAAGCCCTAGTTGAGATTTCTGCAGCCTATACGGTTTCGGTTAAAGGTTTTATTAACCCTTGCCGTGGGGCTACGCCTGCAATGCAAGGGTTAGCTGCTCATTTTGGTCTAGGGCTGAAAATAACAAAGATATACTCAGTCCTCCGAGCCGGTTGTCTGGAACATCGCTCCCTGAAGCCTGTCAAGGACCAGTCTAAGAACCGGTCGGCTCAGATCAGGTGAGTGTAACTTTCTTATTTTACGCCCTAGACCCAAATGGGCAGGTAGCCTTGCAGAGCAGGGGTAGTCCCACTGCAAGGGGTTAATAAATGAAAAAAATAAAAACTACCCGGAGTTCTTCTTTAAAGCAAAGCAGGCAACAAAATCCATCTGCTATTCATGTGTGCAGTGATGTAGCAGTGCTGCTTTATTAATTTCCTCCTTTCTCTCAAGTTTCTATCAAGGCCACAGAATAGAAGTAAGGTAGGTAAGCCAGTCTTGTGTACACTCCTATACCCTGATGGGTGTGTCTAGCAGACTGTTAAATAAGGGTTTCTTAGCTGCATATTGCAAGTTATGTTGTGCTAGCCAACTGTAACAACATGTTCCCCTATCTGGCATTGCTTATGTTTAATTACTGGGAATTTCTAGTACTTGTAGCTTAATTTTAAGCCATTGAAGCCACCATTACTACAACTGTGCATGTGATTGAGCAGTGGCTAGTATTAAAATGTTGTGCACATTATGATAATGCTTCATTAATGTACCAGACCTCAAAAAGGAACGCAGTTTCCCACATATGTTATACAATTTTGGAAGATACTATCTGATTTAATGTATGTATTTTTGTAACAGTTGAAGCTGATGGCTAATGAAGAAAAGAAGTTCCAGCAGCACATTCAGGCTCAACAGAAGAAAGAGCTGAATAGCTTCTTAGAGTCACAGAAACGTGAATATAAGTTGCGCAAGGAACAGCTAAAAGAGGTATACTATACATCATTGGGGGTCAACTTACCAGGTATAGGAGGCCTCAAGTGCAGTACTTGATATGGCCAAAGGGCCACACATTATTAAGCACTGTGGATATGCTACAGGAGACACAGATCATTGCCTTTTCAACCCATTTTACAAATCAATGCTTACACAGAATCCCCTTAAAATTACTCTCTCTGCTTTTGGCATTCCCTATAGCAAGATACATTATAAAAGAGACAGAAAAAAATATGCAATGGAGAATTGAGTACAGAAAAAGCAAAACATTTTAGAAGAAATCATTCAAACCATTAATCCCTAACTTGCCTGGCATCTGATTCTGCCAGTGCAGGTACCATGGTATGGAGCAGTTGTTCTAGCATTGTGAGAGCTATTTTAAAGAGCCATTCCCAGGTTGTCGCTGTGTCGTAGGTCACTTGATACCCCTGGCAAGTTTAGGAACTTTTCAACTTATACTGTTCCAGACCACTTGCTGCTCAGATCTGTGTAAGTACTTAGGCAGGGAAAACACCGTGTACTGCAGGTTAGGCACCAGAGGTATGCTTGTAAATTAAGTCCACCTATAGGACAAAAACTGTTGATTTTTCCTCACCTCCTGCCTCTTGAGTAAAAAAAGTACCCGATTGCTGAATTTCACAGCAACTTGGTGCACACTGTCCTGGAATTCATTGAGCAAGTTTCAATGAACTTGAATCCAGTCTATCTTGCCAATACATAGGGATCCAATTACAGCTAATGGTGCCCCTCTCTGGCAATCGGGTTTCTAACCTGATTGCTGGCTTCCAGAAAGGTGTGCATGAACTTTTGCTTTAGAATGAGTATTTATACTCCTAAAGAGGCCTGGGAATGAGGGTAATTATGTTTTTTCGCTTGTACCTGGACTTAACCTTCAAAGAAAAGGGCCTTTGTTTGTTGTAATAGGTTTTACCGAGCAGTCCTAAAAAGTACACAAGTGTGAAGATGGCTTTTTATTAGTGAACAAATAAGACCTGTAAAATATCTAGTTTGTTCACTATTATCAGATGAGGATGTAGATGTTAGAAGTTAGGAGCCCTAAAATATGTTTTTGAAAATACATATTTGTCACTATATAAATTCATTGGGCTGTTTGATTACAATGGCTGACATGTGTTTCCTCATCAGGAGCTAAATGAAAACCAGAGCACTCCGAAGAAAGAAAAACAGGAATGGCTGTCAAAGCAAAAGGAAAATTTCCAGCATTTCCAAGCCGAGGAAGAAGCCAATCTCCTACGACGTCAGAGGCAGTACCTAGAGTTGGAGTGCCGCAGGTTCAAGAGGCGGATGCTGCTTAGCAGGCACAATCTTGAGCAGGATCTAGTTAGAGAGGTTGGTTGCTGTTTTAAGCAAAATGCCTGGGACATATGAAAAGGCACTCCTCTAAAAACCATCTTATATATTTTTAAATGTTAATAGTGTAACTTTCCTGTCTTTTATAATGCCTGCAATTAATTGCACTCCTTTTGCATTTTACACTGTTCCAAATTGAATGTGTTTTTGGACCCTGAGACTTTAAGGGGCTTTTTTTAAGACCGTTTGTAGGAGAAATGATGCACAGGGATGAGTTGAGCATTGTCATGGTAATTAAGTCATAGTGCAGTAGGGAGTTGACACCCAAAACTGCAATAGTAAATAGTACTACCGCCTTCTGGCTATGCAGTATGGCAAGGGTGTATGAATCACAAGAATAGCTGAGCAGATTAACATATATTTTGATAGGTGTAGCAGTTCAGATGTCGGGCGAAACGCCCCAGTGTTTTACGAATGTATCCGTACAATTGTTAACAAATGGAACTGAAAAAGAAACCAAATCTCTTACAAGAGACAAAGCTATTTGGATAATTGGTTAAATAATTTTTAGCAAACCATTAATATATACCGGAATATATGAACAATGTAGCACAGCCATAGAGAAGCTCTTGCTCCCTAAGTCCAGCAAGCCTGGTTATGACCCAAAGAACTGCAGGAGACCCAGCCAACCCCACCTTCCCTGCTGGCCTCATGAGACCTTTGGCAACGTTCAGATGCTGCCCAAAATTTCTGTTTTCACTAGAAATAAACTCTGAGGTCTTGTACATACGGGCTTCAGCTTGTAGAAGAGCAGCGAGTGCAGAAAGCTTTTACAAGCATTTCCAAAACTTTCATTAAGATATGCACAGCTTAAACCCTTCAGCTCTAATTTGTTGATGTTAAACACACATCATAATGAGATTGGTGCCTATCAATTTAAACAAGCTGCTAACAAGCTTCAATATGCCTTCATCAAGTTTCAAGCTGCGCTGAGGATTTCTGAAACCAACCTGTGTCTACTACAGGTAGTCAGCACCTCCATCAAAAACTATGTTTAACATCCCCATAACTGTAGGTGTACTTTAAAAGCTTACTTTGTAAGGTTACGTGAAGTTTGTAATGGCTTATGCTTTGCAAAAGCTTGCTGTGCGCACCACACAAGCTGATGCCTGTGTGTGCAAGGCATTAAAACGGGACTAAACTGTAGAGTACTAACCTCTTAGCAATGCAACATCCGCAAGCACCTTGGTCTCCTGGTTGGCTGGTGAAGGATGACACAACTCCCACCTGTGCGAATGGGAGTCAATTTATCCTGGCACTGAGCAGATTCTGGGATTGAACTTGTGTCATATATAAAACTCATATCACCCCAAACACCTGGCCCCCCACCAGCACCACCACCACACATATGCTTAGGTCCCTTTTGGTATAATTTATTCAATGGGTTTACTTAAAGCATGGTTCTTTTATCTATTTAATAGGAACTGAACAAGAGGCAAACACAAAAGGACCTGGAACACGCCATGCTACTACGACAGCATGAATCCATGCAGGAACTAGAATTTCGGCATCTCAATACCATACAGAGAATGCGTTGTGAGCTTATAAAGTTACAACATCAGACTGAACTCACAAACCAGCTGGAATACAACAAGAGACGTGAACGGGAATTGAGGCGCAAGCATGTCATGGAAGTCCGGCAGCAGCCCAAGAGTCTAAAGGTAATTTTGTTTATTGTTCAGGCTGACAGAGTTAAGGCAAGACCATGCTGGCAATTCACGATCAGGCTACCTGCATATTTAAACATACAAGCTGTGTGTGTTGCAAATCTCCAGTAGGGCTTATTTAAACATGTCTTGCTCACTCGGTAATAAAAAATGCAAACCACATGCAATGGATGACTTTTTATTAGGTTTAGAAAGTGACACTACATCCATTTTTTTTTCTGCTAGCATGTTTTATTCTTTGTCGGCTTTACTTTGGTTCCCTTCCGAGTTGCCCAAAAAACATTGCGTTTCCCCGGATTTTACAGCCTTTTCTTACAGATTTTGATGAAGTCCAATTTGCCACAGTTTCCTTCATTATTTGAAGCTGGACTGTTGATACCAAGTGGTGATAAGTGGCTTCCTTTTGTACAATGGATGCTGTTTTATTGGGAGAACTGTATGTAATTTGTTTTTGGTTTGCATGTTTGCGCTATTCTAAGACATGTTGTCTTCTGACATACCGGGGTATTTAAATAAAACATGAAGCATTTAGTATATCTCTAAATTATTTTTACTCTTAGCTTAATTGCTTGTATGTCAGCAATGATTACTGAGAAAGAGTATATATTTGCCATATCAATTTGTGACCACCTATGCTGAACCAGTGTATAATATCTGATTTATGACTGTGAGGCTGTATATCCTAGTTCACTCGTATATGCTGTTTGCGAGTCTTAAATTACACATGAGGTTTTTTTTTGTTTTTTTTTTGTTTTTTTAAAGTCTTACAGGCCAAATTTTATTGACTTTGTCATGCAGAAGTGCACCCATGGGTAATGTCAGGCATTTGTTCGAAAGTATTTCTCTTCAGTATAGGTTTTATTTCTGATTATTTACCCTTGGTCACACGTGAGTGATGGAAAGAGCAATCCACACCCAAAATTTCTGCATGACATCAGCTTAAAATAACAATAAAATAACACAGACTACTAAATCTTTAATCTGGCTGATCCTTTTAAGCCATTATAAAAAAAAACTATTCCCTGATAGTTTTTGTTTTATGATTTACAATGTATTGTTTTCATATTCTTCATCGGTCACAGGACTTGCTAGTTGAAAGTGTGAGGTGTACCCTACTTCAGTTGTGCTACTGTCCATGGTCCTTGCTTGTCTGTATGATTTTAACATATTCTTGTTTTTACTGTGTGTTCAGTCTAAAGAGTTGCAGATAAAGAAGCAGTTCCAAGACACTTGCAAGATCCAAACACGACAGTATAAAGCTTTGCGTAACCACCTCTTGGAAACCACACCAAAGAACGAACACAAAGCTGTTCTGAAGCGGCTGAAAGAAGAACAGACTCGCAAGCTGGCTATTTTAGCTGAGCAGTATGACCATAGCATTAATGAGATGTTGTCCACACAAGCAGTAAGTGCGGAGAGTAACTTGCAGTATGTAAAAGTATATGGTTAATTTTGTTTCTTTAGAAAGTATAGGGTGAATGTTACTTGTCACTTTCATTTGTTCTTCCTGCACACACCTTGAAAATCACAGCATTGAAGTTTTTTTTTCTTCATTTGTCACTAAATACGGTACTAAATTGTCTTGACTAAATAGCATGGTGGTGGTTTTTCCATTGTTGTTTACAGAAGGATGATTGATCTTGGTCAATAAATTTTTTTAGTGTGCTGTAGAAACTGAATTAACTGTGCTAAATTCCCCAGGCTCGGCAAAGGTCCCCCGGATTGATACTAGTATATGCCCAGTCTCCTCTGACCCTGCCTCGGCCAGTCATCTAACAGGAACTTATTAGCACAGTTGACTTAGACATTGCAATAATTAAAAAAAAAATTAAAAATACCTTTTAGCATATTCTCAATAAGAGGCAGTTTAACACTTCCACTTGTGTCACAGTGCCTTGGCGCCCTCTTGCTCTAGGCTCACAGGAAGCTATCTGGACATTGATAGATATACACCACCAAATTCTGATTACTGGAGTACATGGTGTCATTAGCGTGCAGCGTCTAGCAAGAGGGAGAGATGTTCTACCTTGACACACATTGACACACTGCATTACTTGAGGCAAAAGAGCAGCTGAAGGCCTACCACCAGTGCCGTGCCATTTACAAGGCAACTGTTGGAAGCCGAAACTGAGGTAGTCTCAACCGACTAAGCACAATTTTACGTTTAGCTGCCTAATATGATTTTTTAAGTAGGCACGTCTGCTTTCTGTATGCTTCTTCATACAGAAGTTGACTTTGTTGCATTTTCATGGGCTTGTAGAAATAGATATGAAGATAAAATGACGTCCAGCACTGGAATTTTTATATTAATTTTATATACATATTTTTTTTTTTCTTAAGCTTATTCTGAAAACCATATAGTCTAAGTAGTGCGTATTCGTACATCTCTCTCTTGTGTCACTGTGTCTTTTTGTTATTTTCTCTTGTGACCCCCATCACTGATGTCTTTGTCATGTTGTTCCCGTGTGTAGCAGTGACGCGTGTTGAGGCAAAGGTTTTCCATTAAGCTTGGGAAACTGGCAGTGCTTAGCTAAACATTTTCACCTTGTCTTTCAGCTGCGACTGGACGAGGCCCAGGAAGCAGAGTGCCAGGTTTTGAAGATGCAGCTGCAGCAAGAACTGGAGCTACTAAATGCTTATCAGAGCAAAATTAAGATGCAGGCAGAGGCTCAACATGATCGTGAACTGCGTGAACTGGAACAAAGGGTTTCACTCCGCAGGGCACTTCTTGAACAGAAGGTACGTGAAAGTTTGTCATAAGGCCCGGCATGGTGAAGAGCGTTAATGGAGAATTATGAGGCGCGTGATTTTCACTCAGCCTCATAATCTGAGCCGACCTGTGACAATAAAACTGTCACATGTCGGCTCAGTAGATCGGGATGTGAGTGAACACATACCATCGTTCGCTCAATTCTCGATCTATCCCTGCAGAGAGCCGTGACTCTCATGCACGGCTCCCTCCAGGCATTACCCCTTGTCCGATCCTCCAGCGATGACTGGCGAAACGGACGGGGGAGGGGGCGGGCACAGCTGGCTCTGCCTCTGGATAGGCAGAGCCAGCTGTCAATCCCGCAGCTGGGCGGATCCAGACAGTATTGTCGGGGTCCGTCCCGGCTGCGGCGTCTCAGTATACTGAGCTTTAGGTCACGGGAGAACGCTAGTTTGTGTTCTCCCGTGACCCTTAGGAGAACTATGGGGAAAAGCCCTGACCCCATAGTTCTCCTTTTAATAATGCCTGAGCATAGCATGTTTTATTTTAAAGGCCAAATCAATTACCATACCCACATGTGCTTTCCCTGTAAGTGTGATTGACAATTGTTTTCTGTTGTCATAGACCTGAGATTAAGTCTGCCCAAAAAAATCCAATTTCTTTTTATCCTCTGTATTCTTCCTGACTATGGGACATGAATATATCTGTAAAAAATAAATCAAGGCAACTGGACTTGCAGTATTTTTCGTGAAAACGTTTCACTGGTCATCCGACTAGCTTTCTCATTTCAGAATTGACCTGGATGAATGAGAACTTTCACAGAGACAAATTGGACATGGACCTCCATAATTTGGCAATTTCTTGGAGGTTGATTTTTTTCTGGGGGGGAGGGGCGGATTGGAGTAAAATTTGGGTTTTTTAAAATTTCCTAAAGAGGATACCAGATTTGTTACTCTTTGGCAACAACTCTGCTTCTGTTTACATACTTTTTTCCATAAATATACCCGCAGTAAAATTGATTGTTATCTTTGTTCTATTTCTCCTTTGCCACACAGCCCCAAATGATATCTCCATGTGTAACATTTGAAAAGGTGTTCTAGTCTTGTTCTTGTTTTGTCTCCAAACATATTGGCGTTGATTGGCATTGTAGTTGGTTCCAAAATACCTATAATTTATCAAAACGCTGTTGCCCACGCGAGATGATTATTTGTGTGATGGGGTAGTGTGTGGGGTTTACTCACAAGCTAGATTTGCACAAGCAGTGCTGTACAGTGACCACTGCTGCTGTGACAGATAAAACACCCTACAGAGAATCTGCATTTTGATTGTACATACCTGATGACCATGAACTTCTGTTTCCATGTAGTAGGATTTACAAACAAGAAACATAAAAGTGATTCCACTGCAAAAGTGAAGACGTAAGGTGGGAGGGAAGTATGTGCACTGGTGTAAGCAATGTCCAGATACCAACAACATTTGGGGGATCATCCACTTGGAATGCGGCTGAATAATGTCAGTTCAGTAACGGAACTACATAGTTACATAGTTAGTCAGGTTGAAAAAAGACACAAGTCCATCGAGTCCAACCTATAGAGATACAAAGGAAAGAAAAAAAAAAGAACAGTCTAAACAGATCACTATGCCCACAATTACCCAATGTTGATCCAGAGGAAGGCAAAAAAAACTAGTATCCGCATCAGGAAAAAAACAATCACCAGGAAATGTCTTCCTACTAATTTAGAGGTTATTAGAAAGGGACATATTTTGTTGCAAAATATGCATGAGAGTTTTTGATTTTAGCTTGGAGCTCAATTTTAACCTATCCCCTTCTTTTTAGGAGTTGCTTATCTTCTTGTTTTCAAAGGCTTACTTAGATTTGTAGAGAAGTTCATGGCTGTTGGGTGTAAGCACAGCAACATGAGACATTTCAAGGAACAGAGAACTTATTAAACTCCTGGATTGTGTTCACATGATTTGATTAAGCCCTGACAATCTGTTTCAATTCTGGAAGCAGTGGAGGAAATGGAAAGGTGCCCAAACCTTCACACATGCCACAGTTGATGTTTTATGTTTTGCAATCTGTGAAATTTGAGTAAATAACTGGCAGTTTGTTCATGAAAAAGTATAGATAAAAGTCTGTGTACCTATGTGCATGTTCTAAAATTCTAACTTGATTTGATTGATTTTTTCTCTCTCCTAGATTGAAGAAGAGATGTTGGCTCTACAAAATGAGAGAACAGAGCGAATACGAAGCCTCCTTGAACGCCAAGCTCGTGAAATAGAAGCGTTTGACTCTGAAAGCATGAGGCTAGGCTTTAGCAACATGATTCTTTCCAATCTCTCCCCCGAGGCGTTCAGCCACAGCTACCCGGGAGCTTCTGGCTGGTCCCACAATCCCACTGGAGGCCCTGGACCTCATTGGGGTCACCCCATGGGGGGCCCACCACAAGCCTGGGGCCACCCCATGCACGGTGGGCCCCAACCATGGGGTCATCCCTCAGGGTCTATGCAGGGTGTCCCTCGTGGTAGTACAATGGGGGTCCGCAACAGCCCCCAGGCTCTGAGGCGGACAGCTTCTGGGGGACGGACAGAGCAGGGAATGAGCAGGAGCACAAGTGTTACTTCACAGATATCCAATGGTTCACACATGTCTTATACATAACTGCAAGAAGAACTTAATGGCCATTCCTTTTGACCATTCAACACAAACTGCCTAGAGATGTCCTCACAGCAGCTTCCTCAAAGGTACTGAGCAGCTGCAAAAATAAGGCTTCCTACACATGCTGTATTTTAATCAGTTTGTACAGGGTTTCATGTACGTGTGTATCTAGTGTATGATTGCATTGGCTGCTGGGTTTATAAGACAGATAAGTGAGCGGGAGGAAGAAAGTAAAGCATGTGGTTTTGTATTGAAGGTTGCTATAGTCTGAAAGTGCTTGGTGAAGCTGCATTACTTGTACAAAGCAAGACACAAAGATTTATACTTGGGAAGTATATCCATACCATGAGCACTTGGTACATTCCCTGGCTCGAAATGTCCATCACTACACTCCGTTAGGGCATTGTCTTTTCTCACTCAAGAAATTCAGTCTTTTGTTTTTTTTTCTGCTGTGTGAGTGGTCAACTATTCAATTATTACCAGGGTCATAACCATCATTGAATAGGTTAGAATATTTCTTGCTAATCAAACTACATTATCTGCAGTTAGGCCAAAAAACTTTCTAATCAGGTTCAGATGTTTGAAGAATGTGCTGCTTCACAGGGATTTTTCAAAGTATTCTGCATTAACTGTGCATGTTAATGTGGTTAACACAAACCAGCACTACCTTCTTACTTGTATATCTTTTTCATGCAAAAGCTGTCACTTTTGTGTCTATTCAAGGCTACCACAGCATATTGGCAATCAGCGTGTGCCATGTTTCCAAATGGCTGAATAATCTGCCGATTGTACTTACAGCTCTTTGTTGTGTTCTGATGTACCTGGCTGGAGCAGTGATGAATAATCTTTTTGGGCTTTTTCAGCGTGCTTCGTATCGGGAATATATTTCAGCCTTGTTTGCAGATTGCATTAGTGCTATTGTAGTGGTTTGTTTTATGGGCGTCATGCTTTCTGTATGTGAGAACTTCCCAGCAGGTACAAGAGACTAGCAGTAAACCTTTGTTTGATGCCATTTAGTTTTTGTTTTTTTTAATTAGTTTTGAATTTTGCATATCTTGATCTTGCCACAAACAGCCATCCATTTTGTTCTCTGGTTGCCATTGCACTGGTTGGTGTGCTGCTAAGGGGCGTTCCTGTTACAGACAGCAGCTGTCAGATTACCCATATTCTTGTATTTGTTAGTACTTTGTGTTCTTGCAGCACAGGACATCAGTGATGTTGTGCCATGTGTTCAGCTGTACGCTCAGCAAGTATGGTTGAAATTTGCAGAGTCATGTTAATTTAGTTGAGTTCTTATTTTTTTAGGTGCTATTGTTAGTGCCAATAGCAGGAAGTGAAACCCTGCTGAAGTTGGGGGCGGGTGTGAAGTTGAGCAAGTGGGTCAGATATGGAATGCGTGAGGCGCCATGTTGAGTGGGTTTGGTATGTTTGCAGGACTTGGAAAATAGAAATATGCATTGTAGGTTCCCTGCTTCTTCGTAGGACTGCTGGCCAATGCACTTGCACTAAGGCCCAAAGGGTTAAAATGGTCCACCAATTGTAAAGACTGGATTTGTGGGAGGGGCTATTTTTAATTTGTCCAGTGCGGTCCTATATTTTCTTAGTCCACAATAGCTGTTCCTATCCATGAACCTGGGGTTGGCTGTACCAGTTATAGTCCTGCCTTATCAATTCAGTCAGAACAAATATTCCTCTATATAAGCAGCATTACATATTAAAACAGAACAAAGTGTTTGAGATTAGTCAATATTTTCTATCTGGGAGAATATTGGGATAATCGAGGTTCAGAACGTATCGTTCTATTTAAATTGCTATGCTGCTCCCTTTTTTTTTTTTCTATACTCACTACAGTAAACGGAATGGCTCCGTCACACACTAGCTACCAGATCATTGTTCGTTTTTTGGGGAGGCATTAGTAAAACATAAGAGCATTGCACTTCAATGATCATCAAAACTACAAAAGTTTATCTTGCACACGCATCCTGTATTTGAAGATTTCCCTTTTCACTACAGTACAAAACCTAACTCTCAGCTGGGAGCAGTTTTATGATTTACAAGCCGCTTTTTTTTTTTTAACTGTAAAATCCTAAAATTATTAATAATAATCAAATACATTTTCTTGGCATCTTAATCGCTTTGTTTTTGGAAGTTTGGGCTGTTTTCTGCTGTTTTCTGCCTCAGCAATGTCTGAGCTGAATGAGATTTTTTTTTTTTTATTACTGATAACATAATATGAGTCATCAGCATTTTTAGGGTCTACATGAATGTTTTAAATTTCTAACACAGGTCTTCTATAGAAATGGTGAAGTGTTAACTGTCCTAATCCGAATCTAGCTGCCACCTTTCTAGAGAAGTAAAATAGACCTCTTGTTAATTCTTTCGAATAGGCTCCACTTTTTAAAGTACCTTCATGTTTATACAATTCTTCCTAAAACTCCCCTTATCAGAATGTGATTCGTGAACAACTAAAAGTGCTTATTTTTGTACTTTAACCCTCAACCTCATTCCTTCAGCAAATGTTTGCTCAACATTTTATCATTTTGATGGCATGTTTCTGTCTATTTTTCAGAACTGAGCAAATGTTGAACTCTTGGTAATGATTTGCCTGTTGTTCTAACACAGCGATGGAAGAGCTGACTTTAGCAACCCTGTGCTGTTTCTAAGGGGTTCTGAAAAGTAAATTGAACATTGATTGTGTATATAGGGAATTTGAAAGTGAAAAGTTGTTTTTAAACATTAGCGTCTCTTAGGGCCCTTTCATATCAGCCCTGTCCGCTGTGGTGCGTTAAACACATGCATGGGAATGTGCGCTGCATTAGGGCAGCTATTGATTTAAATAGGCTGGCCAATGCACCACAACGGACCTAACATTGTGCATGTAGCAAATGCAGTGCAGTGATGTAAATGAGCCTTTAGGTGAGAGCAGTGCACATGATCACACTGCTGGTGAGATTCAACCATCTAATAGCTGCAGGATAAGGATGGAGGCACTATGGAATACAGCTGTGAAGGTTCTCATTCATCCAGGTCACGGTTATATCTGTAAAGAATAAGTCAAAGTCATGGAATGACCAGTGAAAAGAAAAATACAGCAAGTCCTGTTGGCTTGACTTATTCTTTACAGAAATACTATGGAATACAACTACTTTCACTGCAGAAACAAATCATGATGATATTAGATACACATCTAAGAAGTTATGTCCTTTCCCAAATGTATCAATTGGCTGTTAAAGTGACCTCAGCATGTGAATATATTTTTGATTGCAGCAGCAGAGAACAGGAGCCACCAGCAAAAAAGCAAAAGCATGAATAGCCTGCTTGATAAAGGGATACTAAAGGATCTCTAAACCTCTTTTATTAATGCTTGATTAAAGTGGCTACGACTTTAGCAACATTTGTAGTGCTGGTGCTTCCTGCATGGTGCTGTTTGATGCTGTCTCTATTGGGAAAACCAGTCAATTATTATTACTGCAGGGTGAATGTTCCTTGTATAGTGCTACACTGATCAGGCAGATATGGGGGTTTCCTCTTCGCAATGGAGCTGTTTTAATAAAAGAGTAATTCACACTTTACCCTGTTTTTTTGCATGCAATTTGTACTCATTTGGTTTTATGAGTATTTAAAATAAAACATAGGCTTCTTCTAACTTGTTATGGTGTGTTGAAGTGAACATAGGCCATGGCAGAAATTACTACTTCAGGAAATCGACTCAAAAGGGCCATACTTAGTAGGCTGTCAAACCTGACGAATTGGACGGTAAAATGCAGCAGCCTATAATAACCAAACAGAAAGCATCTTAAAGGAGAACTATGGGGTGAAGGCTTTGCCACATAGTTCTCCTTAGGGTAACGGGAGGACACAAACTAGCGTCCTCCAGTCACCCTAAGCTCAGTATACCGCGAGCTACAGCTTGCGGTATACTGAGACGCCACAGTACACCGCGAGCTACAGCTCGCGGTATACTGAGACGCCGCAGCTGAAACGGATCCCGAGAGCCAGCTGTACCCGCCCCCTCCCCCGTCCGATACGCCAGTCAGTGCTGGCGGATCGGAGCGGGGAGGTGGGAATCCAGCCCCTCCCCTGTCACGGCAGAGAGCCGTGACAGAATCGAGAGGTGAGCGAACGCCGGTATTTGTTCGCTCACCTCCCGATCTACTGAGCCGACCTGTGACAGTCTCATTGTCACAGGTCGACTAGAACTATGAGGTGAGTGAAAAGCACTCGCCTCATAGTTCTCCTTTAATCACTCATTTTGTTTTCTACTGAAATCTGATGGTTTGTTATAGGTTACTGCATTTTACATGTATTTGTTGTATGTTGTACTAAGATATCGAATAGATCTACTGGTGTTTTTAAACAAGTTGCCTGATCTGATATGGTACTTCTACATTTAAAGTGCCAATAGACATACACTGGGTGACTAATAATTTACGGTGTATGTGGCACGTGATATGAAAGTTTCAGTATAACACGGTGCAGACGTAAACTGTATACCATGTACATATCGCACATCCACTCTGTAGTAGAGTTCCGTTTCCAATGCTTTGTCTGCTGCAGGCCTCATTCACTGCCATTGTATGCATTTAAAGGACATTTCTAAATGCATTTAATGATTTTGAAATAATGAACACTGTGTTGAGGTGCACTCAGTTTAGCTGCATTTAGAAAAAAAAACTGATTAGATACTTCTGAATGCATGTTAAGTCATGTAAACCCATGTCCATTTAAATGCAGGAGAAATTGATCTGGGAAGTATAAAGCTGGTTTCTCTTACCCTTAAATAAAACAGATGCAGGAAGCCCTTGTGAATAAGAGGCCAAGTTCCCCCATAAACTGCAATACATTTGAGGGGGGAAAGGCATGGGAACTGTCTACATACTGCAATATTCTGTCTAGTTGTTGCTGTTGATCACAGTCTCAGACAAGCAGAGCCTGCATAGTAGAAAATCAGCCAGTTGTAAATCTTCATCCAATGTGCTGCGTAAGTGCAGTAAAAAGATGACTGCATTTCAGTTCTTTGGTTAAATAGTGATGGCCTTTGCACTGGACAGTGAATATGGCTGCCAAGCAAAGGAATTTTCAATATCATCTAATTTATTGATAGCTGTAGTTTTAAATCTTGTTTGAGTTGTGCAGGTACTCCGTGTAATTGATCTGACAGCTTTAGTAATCCCATTTAAATGTTCTTCTGCTTGGCAGACCAAAGACTGCCTCCATTTCTGCTGTTGGGGAAGCCATCTGGTTTTAAAGATATTTTAGCTAAATAGTTAAAACACATCTATTTAAAAAAAAATAAAAACATTTTAAGCCCCTATGGATGGACTAAATGTAACCCCTCCTTCATACATACCCATCAAACTATGCCAAGCAGTGTTCATTTTTCACCTTCAAAATGATTTCCTCCTGTGAGTTGTGCATACATATGTACTTTCAGACTTTATTCTGTGTAGTGTTATGTTAAACTCTCATTGCAATCTATTCTAAAAGTAATTTTACTTTTGTGTTGCTTTTAAAATCTATATGGCTCTAATTTGTGAAGGATCCCTTTTCTAGGCTTTGTAGAGTTTTTGTTCTGGCTGTATCACCTTAAGGCAGATGGGAAGCTTTGCATTAAAGTAGATATGTAGTGGGCGACATTGCTTTCGTGGACAGGACGACCTTGCAAAGAGTAGGATATAACCCTTCTGAAATTGTGCTGCCTTATGGCTTCACAGGTTGATAAATATAGCTCCAGGAGGTCTCCTAATAAGACATTAGTCTTTTTAAATGGTTGTTTTGTTAGTCCACCCAGAATTAATATATTCAATATCAATGGCTGTTACCTGTCAGATTCTTAAATCTTTTGTAGACTCAGCTCTTTGGATATTCGCACCAGAATTTCCAGATCCAGCCATCTGCCTCTGCCATTGCGAGGGTTTTTCCCCTCGCTCCCTTTTCCTGTAATTTATGAAAATTGTATTGGGAGCAGCGTTAACTCCCTTATTAAACTTTATAGTGGCTGCAGGGGATAGTCATAGCTATGAACACAGGCAGAAAGGGCATAAGCACAGCTATGCACACATGGTCATGCACATGCATAGGTGTAAATCGGCCCTTATAGCTTTAAAAAAATAAATAAAGTTGGAGCACATAGGAACCAGCCACCAAGAAAAGAATTGGATTTCTACTTGAAATGCATTTCCATGCAGTAAAACTTTTAATTGCATAAAAATGGGC